GCCTGGACGTGGCCGTCATCGAGGGCGCCCTGCTCAACTTCAACATTGAAACGGTGGTCGGCACGGAGAAGCTGCAGCAGATTCACGAGGTGGCCGCCACCGCCGAGGAGCTGCTCACCATCGAGGGCCACCTGAAGCGGTCGCCGGAGGTGCCGCTCGGCAAGGCGGAGCGCTTCCTCTACGACCTGTCGCGCATTCCGCAGTTCCACGAGCGTGTCAACTGCATCATGCACGAGCTTCGCTTTGAGGAGCTGCTGGTGGGCATCGAGAGCACGCTGAGCAACTTTAAGCTCACCTGCAGCTCGCTCACCTCCAAGAGCTGCATCAAAGAGATCTTTGCCATTATTCTCACTGTCGGTAAGTGCTGTTGCTGCTGCTGCTGCTTACTAGCTCATGCGTTTGCTGTTGTTAAGGCCAGACTCGATTTATTTACAACTTTTCTTGACTATTCCCTTCAGGCAACTACATGAACGGCGGCAATCGCGATCGCGGCCAGGCGGACGGTTTTGGCCTGGAGATTCTCAACAAGCTGAAGGACGTCAAGGGGAAGGAGAATGGGAGCAACCTGCTGGAGTACGTCGTCAAGGTGTACATTCGCCAGTACTACCCGGAGGTGAACTCCATGGAGAATGTCGCCTTTCCCCTGGTGGAGCCGGCGGACATTGAGAAGTGCAGCACCGTCGTCTTCTCCGACATTGAGGCGGAGCTGGCCGAGCTGAGCAAGATCATCCGCCAGACGAACGGCCTGGTCACCTCGGTGCTGGCCAAGGGCGAAAAGGACGAGGAGAGTGGCGAGTACGTGGAGCACATTCGCCTCTTCAAGGAGAAGATGGACGCCTTTCTCGGCAAGGCGACCAAACAGATGAACGAACAGGAGGAAAATTTGAAGGATTGCAAGCGCAAGTAAGTGATCGTTGGGAAAGCGATTTTGTGTATTTTATATCTAACGATAACCTCAACTTTTTCACTTTTCCCGTTTAGATTCAACGACACTATGAAGTTTTTCGCCTACCGCACCAAGTCACGCAATGAAAGCGAGTGGCCAAAGGAGTTCTTTGGCCACTGGATTCAGTTCACCTATGATTTTAAACAAATTTTTAACCGAGAACTTCAACGTGCAATTAAGCAAAAGTAAGATTACTTTCTGAAAACTAATCATTTTAATGACTTTTTGTTTTTTAAATTATTGCAGCCTCCAGTCTATTCAGTCTAAGGTGCGAACGATGCGCACCAAGGCAGACATTAAACTGCGCAACAAGCGACCTGGTGGTCTGAAAGACTACGTCAAGTCGTTGACCAAGAAGGATGCCAATTAAACAGTTTGCAGTATATATTTGATTTCATCAATTTCTTAAAGATAACACAAAGTACCCCCTTTACCCATACATACTCTATTTTTCTTGTCATTTTAATACTGGAAAACTTTCTCAAACTCAAGCACACATTTTTATTTACTCATGATCACAGGCACACACACACACACACACACACTTACTCACTGGGACCGCTTAATCACATTCCAATCACATACTTGAGACAATTACGATTCTACCCTTTACTCACGTCTGTTTCACGTTGTTAAATTATGATTGTTAATTTATGATGAATTTATAATAATTCACAAAAGTCACTTGTATATGTATTTTTATTTGTTGTGTAATTATGGAAAATTGTCAAAAACTTTTTTTAAAACTTTAAAACTGCAATTGTGTTGCAAATGTACACTCACTCAAATAGGATAATTTTGCACTAATGCTGTTGTTTACTTTCTAGTGCAATTTGTTTTCACAATTAAAAAAGTTTGCTACTTGATTTCTGCTTTGTACATTTCCATTAACAACTAAAAACGTGACATTTTTAAAATCACGTAAAACAAAAGTATGCAATAAATGTAAGCAAAATTTTTTTAAAATTGAACATTTCATCACCTTAATAATTTTCAAATAATATTTTCAAAGTTAACAATTACTTCTTTTAATTGAAGTTTTTAATATTTAATTGTGTTTAAAATTTTTAAATTTATTCCTCGTTAAAATAAACGGTTTAAAAATGAAATATTACAGTTATTATTGTTTTTACTTTGTAATGCTGTTTGGTACGTATGTCAGATTTGCTTTTTACGTATATTTTAGTTAATTTTAATAAAATGTTTGCAAATTTAAATTTTTATTAACAAAATAATTGTTTTGACTATTTAGGCAAAATTCTTTTAGCACAATCTATTGAGGACACTGGTTTACCCGATACAAATATAATGCAATTTAAAAAACTTATGATTAAATCTATTAACAAAAACAAAAAAGAACTACTAAAAGCAAAAACCAACAATCAGCAAGAACATAAAGACAGTTTTAAAAACAGCAGCAGCAGCAACAACAACAATCACAAAGACATCAGCATTGCTCAACAGCTAAAAATGCTTAGCAGTTACAGCATCAACACCACTGGTACGGTAATCACTAAAATACGGACGTTGGAGTGCAATCAACTACAGGAAATTGCCAGACAAGTAGACCAGGCACTGAGCAATGCACAGAATAGTTGTGATAAGGTGATTCCTACTTTGTCGTCTATACTATCTTCAGGAGACTTGCTGAAACTTGAAAAATTAGCCCGGTTGAAATGCGTTCAGTTGAAAGCAGCGGCAATGATCCAGCGCGTTCTTGCTGGCACTCAGTGGCCTGGCAGCCAAAGTTTGCCCTCACAGGGCAAACATTTGTATTATAAACAACTTTCAATACCATTCCCAAGTAATTATTTTTATACATTGCCTATATTTTAAAAATGTAACATTAAGCTAAACTAATTTAATCATTTGCAAATGTTGTAAGGCAAATTTTATTTGATTTTTTTGTAAACTGATCAACAATTAAATAAAATTAACATCAACAATTAAACTGTATTTGGTTTTGCGTTTTTTAACGTACTGACTAGATAGAGAATCAAAGAAGGCATTTAAAAACATAGTAAACTGTTTTGCAGTTGTTTAGGGTTGTTTTCTTCTGCAAATTTGTGTTCCTATTTTACTGCTGCTTTGCTGCTAGCTTCTTCTTCAGCGACTCGGGCATCTCCGGCGGCGGTGGGCGAGGCAGATGCAGCCACACCTTCACGGCGTCGTAGATGAACCACTGCAGGGCGGTCAGCGTGCCGATCATGATGATACGAGGGGTGAGACCCTTCCAAACGCCTGGAGAATAAAACAAAACAGGGGTGTTTAAAAAGAATTCAACAGAAAATGAGGGCAAAGTTTGCAAGTGTGATCAAGTGAGTCACTCAACGGAAAACCCTTTAAAACCATCCTCCTCCACTCTACTACTCACCCATGGGACCCAGCTTCTTGAGCACCTGTCCGGCGGTGCTGCCCTTGTCCTGGTTCAGCTTCGACACCACCGTGTCCGCCGGGTGCGAGACGATGGCGCAGAAGACGCCGGCGATGTACCCGGCGGCGAAGGTCACCGTCAGCTGTTCGCCCTTGCCGCACTCGGCGCGCGGCTTCGGCACCACATGCTTGTACAGCAGCTCTACAGTGCGCTCGAAGCAGGCGAACTTCATCATCGTGTAGGGAATCTGGCGCATCCACAGCGGCGCCAGGCCCTTGTAGAAGCCGGACAGGCCCTCGGAGCGGAAGATCTGCGGCGCGACGACGCGCAGCTGCGGCGAGCAGCCCGGCTGCGTCTGCGCCCGCACCTTGCACGCCTCCAGCGGACAGAGGGCAATGTCGGCGAAGAACTCCNGCCAGGCCCTTGTAGAAGCCGGACAGGCCCTCGGAGCGGAAGATCTGCGGCGCGACGACGCGCAGCTGCGGCGAGCAGCCCGGCTGCGTCTGCGCCCGCACCTTGCACGCCTCCAGCGGACAGAGGGCAATGTCGGCGAAGAACTCCGCGGAGGCGGAAGCGGCCAGGTAAAGCGACGTTCGGTAGAGGTAGGTGTTCTCTTCGCCGATCAAGTTTGAGTAGAAGACCTTGAAGAGCTCGTAGAAGCCGAACTTGCCCAGGCCCTGCAGCGAGTAG